ATCAAGCCCCTTATCGAATGGCACCAGCAGAATTGCGTGAGTTGAAGACTCAATTGCAGGAGTTAGTGGACCTTGGGTTCATTCGACCTAGTGTCTCCCCTTGGGGTGCACCGGTATTATTTGTAAGGAAGAAGGATGGAAGTATGAGGCTTTGTATCGATTACAGGCAATTGAACAAGGTGACAGTGCGTAATCGATATCCTTTGCCTCGAATTGATGACTTGTTCGATCAGTTGAAGGGTGCCAAATATTTTTCTAAGATTGATCTGAGATCGGGATATCATCAACTCAGAGTACGGGAAGATGATGTTCCCAAGACAGCATTTAGGACTCGTTATGGTCATTACGAGTTCTTGGTGATGCCTTTCGGATTGACAAATGCACCGGCAGCGTTTATGGATCTCATGAACAGAGTGTTCCGACCTTATTTGGATCGCTTTGTGATTGTATTCATAGACGATATTCTGGTTTATTCCCGAACTTTGGAGGGTCATAAGAAACATCTGCGATTAGTATTGAAGACTTTAAGAAGAAAGAAGCTTTATGCTAAATTTAGTAAATGTCAGTTTTGGTTGGATAGAGTGGAATTCCTTGGACATGTTATATCAGCAGAAGGAATTTATGTGGACCCTCGCAAAGTAGAAGCAGTTGTGAATTGGGTGCAACCCACAAGTGTAACAGAGATACGGAGTTTCCTGGGGTTAGCGGGTTACTATCGTCGATTTGTAGAAGGGTTTTCTTCGATAGCAGCACCTCTTACTCGGTTAACGAGGAAGGATGTTAAGTTTGATTGGACGGAGGAGTGCGAGCAGAGTTTTCAGGAGCTGAAGAAGCGGTTAACCACCGCACCTGTTCTAGCTCTTCCGGATAACTCGGGGCACTTTGTGATCTATAGTGACGCATCTTTACAAGGCTTGGGATGTGTTCTGATGCAACATGACCGGGTAATTGCTTATGCCTCAAGGCAACTCAAGAAGCATGAGCAGAATTACCCTGTACATGACTTGGAACTTGCCGCAGTGGTATTCGCGCTTAAAATCTGGCGGCATTACTTGTATGGTGAGACGTGTCAGATTTTCACTGATCACAAGAGCCTCAAGTACTTTTTCACTCAAAAGGAGTTGAATATGAGACAGCGGCGTTGGCTGGAATTGATTAAAGATTATGACTGTACAATTGACTATCATCCCGGTCGAGCTAATGTGATAGCTGATGCACTAAGTAGGAATATTGGTGGAAGTTTAGCTCATCTCAGAATGGTCTATCTTCCGCTATTGATAGAACTGCGAAAAGATGGTGTGGAGTTGGAAATGACTCCTCAGGGAGGGATGCTTGCTAATGTGCAGGTGAGGCATATTCTAGTTGAGCGGGTGATTGCAGCACAATTGAGAGATCCTAGTCTTTGTGTGATAAGGTCGGAAGTAGAAAATGGTACACGGACGGATTATGCAATAAGGAAGGATGGAGCTTTGGTAGCTGGAACTCGTCTTTGTGTACCCAAGAACGATGAAGACTTGAAACGAGAAATCATGGAAGAAGCTCACTGTTCTACTTACTCTATGCATCCGGGTAGTACTAAGATGTATCGGACTTTACGGGAGTACTACTCGTGGCCCCATATGAAGGGAGATATTGCTACGTATGTGAGCAAATGTCTGATTTGTCAACAAGTGAAAGCGGAACGACAGAAACCGTCCGGACTCATGCAACCACTTCCGATCCCTGAATGGAAGTGGGAGTTTATCACAATGGACTTCGTTTTCAAACTCCCACGTACTTCAAAGGGGCATGACGGAATTTGGGTGATAGTTGACCGACTCACCAAGTCCGCCCATTTTCTACCTATAAAGGAAACCTATTCCTTGTCAAGGCTGGCAAAACTCTTTGTGGATGAGATTATAAGGTTGCACGGAGCTCCTGTGTCTATTGT